CAAACGAAATTAAAAAAAAAAAGTGCCAAAACCTAAAAGCAGTAATATTCCCACTAGAGCTTCTAACAGTGGCAGAAACCAAATTACAGAAGGAAGATAATTCTTAAGATAAAAGACTTATAATTAGGAATGCCTACCACATGAGCCCAAAGAGGGCCTTTTTTAGTTGTACAAATGCTTGCTCACATTTAGTAGTCCATTCTAGATTATCTTCCCTCTCCTTTTTATTTAATATAAGGTTTTTGCTAACTTTATAAATCGAGGAATCTCGATCTTGCTATACCCAGTCATCCTCAAAAATTATTGGGGAAAATAGGTAGAGTTTCATACTGTTATATGCCAAAATGAATCTCAAGAAATGAACTTCAGGGAGGAAAATTTGGGCCTTTTCTTTGGACACTCTAAAAACTTCTTTATTTAAAATGTCTAAGGTGTTCTGAGTATCCTGAACTTATAGTTTGGACTACACACTAAAAGGTCATCTTTAAGATCTAGAGCTGTGAAATATGTAGAACTGACTGGCACTTTGTCTATTATAGTATTATATGGTATAGTAGAGTAATTAGTATAGTATAGTATAGTATAGTATAGTATAGTATAGTATAGTATAGTATAGTACAGTATAGTGGTATAGTATTTATTATAGTATTATAGTATTAGTATTATAGTATAAGGGTTAGGAACCACAGGATGTAGAGGCACAACTATGTCATTCATTGTTCTCATGTCCTGGGAAAGCACTTAAAATTTCTGATGGAATTTTAAAAAAACCACACAACACCCACCATCACAATAGTATCTTTCACAATCCCTAAAACACTCAGAAGAAAAAAAAATCTGTTCTGAAAGTGGCTGTGTCATGGCTTTTCTGGTTGTTGTTAAACTTTTGTGAACATAAAAGTTCACTTTTGTTAAAAAAATGTAATGAGCTGATGAGACATTCATTCTGTACATGGTTTTGCTCATGAGCCCTAGAAATGTTATGCTGTCTGAAATGGGGTAATTTTCTGACTAGATGGTTGTGAATAAAGTTGTTAATGTTGTTTAAATGATTGCTGTTGTTTTAAAATGCTAAAGAAGTTTCACTCATTGCCAAAAACATTAAAAAAAGCAAAGAAGAAAAAGTGAAGCCTACTTTATATCCAGTCCCTGGGGCATCCACTATTAATAATTTGTGTGCTATTTTCCCAGATACGTTTTTACACTGCTATAGAATACCCTATAGAATACTTCTATAGAATGTTTCTATAGAAACATTCTTCTAGGTCCTATAACCCTGGTTTGTCCACTTGCTGTACAGAGATAACTCGTGGTTGCTGTGAAGCCGACCACTATGACACTGATGAGTCAAATGTGAGAATGGTTACCCATGGTGGACAGTGTTGGTAAAGCTCCCCTATTAAAACAAGCTTGGAAGCAGGAGTGTCATCCACTTCCATTAATAGCTTGCCTCTGGAAACCCTATGAACCTGGAGAAAAGGACGAAAGTTATACAGGAGGTGTCCAGGATTTCGCTTATAGGGTCGCTATGAGTTGCCTGCAACTCACCGGCTCTTAAAAACAACAATAGAATACGAGAACACATACCTGGAACATATCAATTTTCTAAGGGGCCCTGTAATATAGTTTGTAAATGTTGGGCTGCTAACCCAGAGTTTGGCAGTTAAAACCCAAAAGTTGCTTCTCTGGAGAAATAGGAATCTGCATACTCTCCTTAAGACTGGCGACCTGAGAGCCCAAGGAAAGTCACCAGGAATTGGAATCAACATGGTAGTAGGTTTGGTTTTTCAGTATGTGAGTAGTGAGGGTGATGAAATGCCTGAGCCTTTGACTCTCAGTCAATAGGCCCTATTTGTAGCTACCACTATGAAACAGAAACTCTCCATTGGATTTTTTTTGGCTGTGATCTTTATGAAAGGAAACCTGAGTGAAATTGATGGTTAAGTGCTTGACCAGTAGCCAGAAGACTGGTATTTGAAACTCACCCAGAAAGAGGTATTTTCAAAGACAACCTTAGAGATCTGCCCTTAATGAAAACACTGCTGGCCTAGGGCTAAGCAGTTGCACTGCTAACTCAAAGGCAGGTGATTTGAATCTGTCAGCACCTTCCTGGGAGAAAGAAGGACAATGTCCTTTTGTGCAATTTATAGCCTCTGAATACTTGTTGAAGGGTCAGCTGTGAAATAGTTCCTACTCTACGACTCTTAATAATAATAATAATAATTATATTTATATATATATGGCTACTCTCTCTCTGGATGAATTACCAAATTGGTTTTCACATGACTGTATCATTTTTTATTCCTACCAGCAATGAATATGGGTTCTAATTTCTCCACATTTCCTCCAATTCTTACTATTTTCTTCTTTTTAAAATGCCCTTACTATCCTAGTGGGAGTTAAATGGTATTTCTTTATAGTTTTTGATTTCTTGTCTGTAAAGGCTAATGATATTCAGCATCTTTCCACATTTTCTACCTGCTTTTGAACTGTTCTATAGTGTTCCATTGCATTAATGTTCTGCTCTTCATCCAATCTTCCTCTTAGCTTTGGGCATTTAGGCTTTCATTGGGTTGCATCGTTGGAGCAGGTGTTCAAACCTGTTTATTTGGATGCCTGATGGAGGAGTACTTAAGTGCTGCTGTGGAAAAATAAGAATTTTACTTTTCTCACTATGACTTAGTCATGCAGACAACAGTAAGATAAGATCTCAAATCAAGGCTCCAAATTACATCATTATGGACTTTGAAATCCTTGATGAAAAGCCCAGCAGACCAACAAACAGCTTGTTAGCTTTGACCATGGCTTAGATTAGGTGCATCTTAGTCCTCAAAATTACAGCTTTGTTTTTAACATCTTAGAACTTTTGCAGAAGATTTGCCCAGTGTGACATATCATAAGATTTCTTGACCTCTGCTTCCATAGATGTTGATTGTAGATGTAAGCAAAATTGAACCCTTGATAATTTCAGTCTTTCAACTATTTATCATTAAGCTTCTGAATAATCCACTTCGGAGGATTTTTAAGTAGAAGTGTAATTCATGGTGAAAGTTGTTGTCTTTGATGTGCACAGCATATGCTTCAATCCTCTTTGCTTTTAGCAAGTAAGGTTGTGTCATCTGTCTATCTCAGGCTGTTAATTCTTGATACTAATTTTGGTATTATTTTCTTTTTCATTGGATAACAATAGTCCATATCCCTATTAGCAAATGAATATTCAAGTTTAGAACATTACACATAGAAATGATATTGTTGTTGTTGTTATGTGCCATCAAGTCATTTGCAACTCATAATGACCCTATGTACAAGAGCCCTAAACGTAGTTCTATCCTGTGCCAACCTCGCTGTCTCAAACACATTCGTTCCCACCACTCCACTCACAGAACAGATCCATCTAATCGAGGGTCTTCCTCTCCTGCGCCATCCCTCCACTCTCCCAAACATGATGTCCCTCTCCAAGGACCAGTCCTTCCTTGCAACATGCCCAAAGTATGTCAGACGAAGCTTCAGAATCCTTGACTCCAAGGAACATTCCAGCTTCACCCTCTCCAGGACAAACCTGTTTGTTCTCCTAGCAGTCCATGGTATATTCAACACTCTTCTCCACCACTGCTCAAAGGCATCAATTTTCTTTCTGTCATCCCTATTCACTGTCCAGCTCTCCAATGCATAGCACGTAATTGCAAAGACTATAGCCTGCATCAGGTGCACCTTAGTCTCCAGCCTGACGTCATTGCACTTTAGTACTCTTGAGAAGTACCTCATAGCTGACTTTCCCAATGCAATTCATCTCCTGATTTCCTGGCTGCTGTTACCAAGAGTGTTGACTGTGGAACCAAGTAAACTAAAACTGTTAACTATCTCAATCTCTTCACCATCCACACTGATGCTGCCAATTGGCCCAGTGGTGAGAATCTTTGTTTTCTTGATATTGAGCATTGCACCAAATAATTATTTACAAGAACTTTCCCTTTGCCAAGTAAAATATTTAGAAAAG